GTTCCCGTGCCAACTCAATTCTTTTGCACATTCGTCTCTGCCCTTCTTTCGACAAGGCCTCGCCGCAGCCACGCCCCTTGTTGCCGTCAGTCGTGAACTGTAGGTACTGGGTATCCTAGGTAATTTAATGTGAATGATTTGGAATCACTATTTGAAGTGACCGAGCGTTACTCTTCTGCTTACTCTTGAAACTCGAACCCATTTCCACGGGGTTCGTGATTGCGCGAATGCGAGATAAAGAAATTCGTTCTGCAATTGCAAGTGAAGAAAAAAAGCAGAAGAAAGCATCGAAAACGTTGCAAAGAGGGCTTTTTTGCAGTTATTTTGACTGTTGGACTAGCGAAGAAGTAGGAGGTGAAGAGACAGTAGGAGCACGTACTGAAGATCGAAGACGGACGATAAGGGAGCCAAAAGTTGATTGAGAGAGCAGACACTGCCGCGTTCGCTAAGGCATTCATTCTGGGGGAGTGCAACTAATTGGTGCGACAGCCTCATCACGTTTTCACTGATCCGAGCAAAAACACCTATCAAGCCTTTGTGGCTCTCTAACGTCACCTGGAAAAGGAGAGACTCCACCGATTCTCCGAACCAGGGCTGTCTATAAGGGAAAGAACCAATCCTCACTCTTGTTTAATTCGAAACTGATTAACGTTTTTCACCGTTAATCGGTGCTATTTATGATGATGACAATGCGTTCTTGAAGGCATAAGGATTCGACCGATCCAAAATGGTAGCAGGAGTCTATGTAGCAAAAAGTGGCGAAAAAGAGAGACGAAACGGTCAAAAATCTGCAAGAAATACCTCTGCTCTACACCACTCAGAAAGCAATTTTGGACGAGTTACTCGATTGTCATCGTGCGATACGAGCACCAGCATCGGTCGGACATTTGTGGGCGGGCGGGTGCGATGAGCGTCCGGGTCGGTATGTTGCAGCTTGATAGGGCGCTATACGGGGTAGCTTACGTGGAAAAGGCGCCACACAGGGCCTGCTCAAGTGGGCCGAATTCTGTTCTGCTAGTCGTATTAGTCCTACTCGTGTTGGGTATTCATCGTGCCACTTACCTTTGAGCGCTGCAACCCTGACCTGCGATAGACAGGAAAGTCTACGCTATGGTAATATGGGAACTCGACCCTGATAAGCATCCTTCAGCAGCCCTTGTTGGTGAATAAATCATAATCTTTTGTTCAACCCAAAAACAGCACCATAGTTACAGCTCTGTGATAATGGGAAATTCATCTCCATGCCTTGAGCCGACAGTACGTAATGATGAGGACTGTACCTCCAGGAGAAAATGTCTGCGGAACTTCCAGCGCATAGTGTAGAAAAAAGGTTTTACAGTATTTTGGTGGACTCCCGGATAGATGTTATCGGTTATTATTAATTTGCAAACATTTTGGCCAGCACTTCACGCCAGGCCTAGCAGCTTCTTACTGCCGTCTGTTTGGATTGCTTCGCTCTTGTTATTTTCCAAGAAAAAGAAAATTTGCTGAACTGCTCAAGCAATTAGTTTATTGCAAACAAGTAGGCAATGATATTCAAAAGCGATTAGATTCTGAACTGTTTAATTGTGAAAAAAAGATACTTGATCCGGTCTAGACATTAGGCGTTAGAAACTTGTTACTGGAACTGGATTTTTAAATTGATTGGCACATTGGGCCACTGGAAATCCTTAAAACTTAGGGAGCCAAAGCAGGTAGTTACGTATCCAGTCCACACTTGTATCCAGTCTACACTTGCCTTCATGTCCTTGCATATGGGATCGCTTCGCTCCCACCGAAGCATCTTGACCGATCCGAATAAATAGCCTTTTTGGAACGTTTCATGCATCATCACATTCAGTTTTCTGTAGAGCCGATCTTATTTCCGTAGGTAAGAGGGAAAAGTGGTGTTTACCATACAAATGGTTCAGTGCTCGAAGGCATACTATGCACTCACCTCCGAGGACGGTCGGCTTTATGTGCAAGGTGAATGGGTCCGCAACTGCTATGGTGAGCCACTTTACCCGCTCAAAGAAGCACGGAAACTGAGCTGGAGAGTAGTGATATGCGACGCTGGCCCCTAACCTCAAAGTGCTGCATTTGCGCAGATACTAGGCGGTAGAGAACAAGCAGAAGCGAAGCACAGAAAAGTAGACTTGTAAGAAGGAGAATATGTGCTCCTTATTTAATAAATATTTTTGGTTACATTGTTGCGAGTTCTGGGCGTCAAATATCGTGGAGAGATCTAGCATGATTTCGATGCGAAAAGGGTGAATCCGAAAGCGACCTCAGATCTTTCAAGGGTACCGACCTCACAACTAAAGGGAGGGCGTTGTCCAGTCGTTGGGCGGGATGGGCGGGTCGTAAGCACTCCGCAAGCGAAAGCCTCCAGAGCTGTCGGCGTTGATCAATCCCTATTTAGGATGGCCACGCAAAAACAGTGACATATTGAATACGATTTGACTCATAGAATGTCTCGTGAAGGACAGACACTGTACCAATCACTGATTTGTGCTCCCAGATGTTCGGTGCCTGTCTGCCGACCTTAAAGAGATGGAAGACTTCGTTAGTGTAGGTAGGAGCCGATCTGAGTTTTGAACCCTCATCCTGAACGTGATAAGTGGCACTATTTGCCGCCGCAACCGCTCATTTAGAAATAAGATGGAGTAAATGACTGGCCTTCCTTTGGATCGGTCCCGCATCCCGTTTCCAACTACAGTCCAAGAGCACTTGACGAGGATTTCGCCTGTACTACGAGTTAACAACCAATTTGCCAGGCGGGAGTTGTGTCCTCTCAGGTAGGTATTGGAACCGTCTAACCTCTGGCGGAGAGACGCAGGACTTAGCTGATTTGCGAGAAAGAATTATCTGGCACGACGGCTCCGAAGACAAACTATAAACTATACACGCACCCTGTGCTGATCCTGATCCTTCCCCATG